AAAAAAAAAAAAAAAAAGAAAGACCAAGCTTATTGGTCACAGAAATAGGTGGAACCTTCCAAACTATGGTCCTTTAATCAGTCTTCAAACCTGAAACTGAATGGAGCCCCCCATACTCAGTTTATAAACAAGTACAGGTTTATAAAGTATAACTCTAGGGAGATGAGTGTTAGTCTAAGGATTATCCTCAGTGCAATCAACCACTTGACATCAAAAGGGGAGTCTTTGCTTAAGGACAAAGTTCAGAAAAGTCAGGAAAGAAGGAATGAAAACCGAAACACAGGGAGAAAGTGGGATTAAGTGATGTTAGGTTGTGCGGAGTTCAATCAATGAGATGAAATAAAGCGTGTATACACTATTGAACAGAAAACTGTCAATCTTCACCCAATTCTCATTAAAAAGTTAAGTAAAAACCCACCCCCAAATCTTAGGTAGCTGTCGCACAACCTTAAATGCTACAGGGTGATCCGTATTTGAAATCACACTGTGATAAAAGTTGGGATCTGTTCTAATAGGTCTAACACCAATTGCCACTCAGCCACTTCCAATTCCTGGTGACCCGTGTGTGTCAGAGTGGAAGTGAGCTGACAAGAGCTAATGTTTTGGCAGCAAAGCTCTGGGCCTTTCTTAGGAGATACCTCTAGGTAGATTCGACTCCCTAACATTTCAGTTAGCAGTCATGCATTCTGTTTGTGCCAACCCGGCACAACAGACATTGCCTAAGAGAATCTCCTTACCTCTCTGGTTGTCAGAGTTAACATTTCAAAACATTTCCTTATACTTCTGAGGGTCTCTGCCTCTGAGACCTCCTGCTTTCATAAGAAATCGTGTATTTCATTTAATAATTAACCAGAATCATGAATTTGCACGGTTCAGTTTTTAATATTAAAAGTCCAAGAGAGTTTAGAAGATTCTTAGATACACCTAGATTGGCAAATACCACCATCTGCCATATTTATGTAAATTCACACATATGCCAGCCAACACCTGAGTGCTGGATGGCCCCTCCCCTTTTGCACCAGAACAAATAATTTATTAAGCTTCAATACTTAATAAGTGTGCACAAATATCATGCAAACATTACAACTGTACTCACAAATAAAAAGTGTATTAGAGACGCAGACTTATACAAAACATCTTGTAAACAAAAGGGAAGAGATTGGTATTTTCTGTACAAAATATGCAATTAAAAAAATCTCAATAATCTGTAAGATGCATCATACTTCTGGCATTTTCAAAAAGTGAAAACTGTATAAAAATAAATATTCTATGTACAAACACACACACAGGCCAGTCCAAGGTTAAAGCCATCACTGCAAAGACAAAAAATGGAAACAAAAACAGAAACAAAACAACAGAGAGTTAGTGTCAGTGGGTCTTTGTAGGTTTCTTTCCCATGTAGGAAGGACGTAGACCTTGTTTTGGAATGGATGGGAGCTCTGGATAGGGTTTTGGGGAAACCACTAGCCTCCCTGTCAAAGAAATGGTTTTGACTCTAAGCGCCCTGAGGGTGGGAAACATTTACACCTTCTAGTGATTTCCCTGTTTGGCCACTAGAGGACACTTTCACTCTGTGTCTAAGGAGCCCTGTCTGTTTAATTATGCATCTTGCCAGACTGAATGTATGTTGAATGAACAGGCAGGCATGAGATTTTCTAGTGGAGCCAAGACACGAGCTCATGATGGTAGCTTTTCTTCCCCCTTTAAGCCCAACTACTTATGTTGCCTATCCATCAGCGATAATCTTTTTCTTAGTGGGCAAGGAATGGGAGCCTTGTTTGACATATCTTTTTCCTGCCTCTGAAGAGCTTTAACTAGGTCTAGGGTGGAATTCAACAAGTGACTTAAGGAACAGATTCAGGAGAGGCACTTCCCTTGAGGATTAAGCCTTTCTTTCCTCTGGTTGGGGGAACAGGCCCTGGCAAGTGGTACTCAATCTAGGGTCTTGTCTCTTGGCAGTTTCCTTACTTATATCCAATTCCATGAACTAATGAGATTCTGACCATTTTAGCAGAAAGTTGCTCATCCATATCATTGATAATATGACTCTGCTTTCACTGTGATAGGATTGAATTAGCTAAACACAAACTCTTGAACTAATTGAGGTCTCCAACCCTTTGAGAAGAATGAGCCAGCATCCCCGTTCACCACTGGGCAGAGGGTTGGGGAAATCTCTGAGTGGGAGTTGAGGAGGGAAGTGGTGTGTAGCTGCTAGTGGGAATCAAGGTAGCTAGTACCTTTACTGGGGAGTGTGCTGAGTGGGGTGATTGTGTGCAAGGGCATAGCCCTTGGCATCAGTCTGCTTTAATGATGGCTGATGCCGAGGCAAGTGTGAATGAATGAAAATTCAATGTTTATAGCAAGTCAGGGAACTCAAGAGAAGTTGTACTGCAGACTATCTGTGAGAAAGGTTAAGTTCAAGGGTAGTGTGCTAGCTGGATAGGCTCGAGGAGGAAGCGCTGAAAGCACGTGAGTTTATATTTTAAACAACTTAGCTTCCCTCGATCTGGTTAAATGTGTCAGCCTATGGCTTAAATGGCCTTATAGGCGCACTAATAGAGTTCTCACTGATTCTTGAATTTTATTAAAGAAGGAGATTCTGAAACATTTCAAACGTGATTTCAAACCTAGTTTGGAATTCCTTGGAGGAATGGTACTGTTCAACCACACACAAGCTAACGATGTCACCAGTGTGGCCACATGGAAACTCCATACATTGGGGTTTGCTAATGAGCTGTTGAATGGGCCCCTGCCATTGAGACAGTTCCTTTTCAGAACCGTGTCTTGTCTCATCTGCAGAAAGGTCCAGAATGGACATTCCATTTGCTTTATCACATCTCTAGAGAAATGGAGCCTCAATGACATCTGTCTTAAGGCCACGCAAACCTCCCCCCCCCCTCACCTTACCTTGTTCCAGCAGCCCTGAACTGGGAGCCCATCTTCACCCTATAGGGAGAAAGGTAAGCAAAGGGATGAGACTCTCAGAAGCTGGCCCACCACGCAGCACAGGGCTAATAGGGGCCACACACATGGCAGCTGACAGGGGACTGGTCCATCTACAGTTGTCTATTGTTTCCACCTCAGGTCAGAACTGGATGCTCTCTTCCTATTGGCTAAGGTCACATGGAGCTACAAAGGAGAGGGTGGGGGTTCTCCTAGCCTATGAAATCAATTAGCCTTGAGTGCCAAGGAAAGAAGAGCCTGGAAGACCCACTGGTGTGGGTGTTCATGGGAAGTCAGCTGTCAGCACTTGGGGACCTTAGTTTTCCTCTCTATGAAGTCTGAGGCAGGTCCTTTAAGCTATCATTCGCTTAGCTTTGTTTTTTTACTAAGGAACGGAAGAAGACAATCCACACTGTTCTTATCTGATGACCAATAATAGGGTGAGAAAAGCACAAAGGGACAATCTCATGGGGTTTCAAGGCGGCCCTGAGGTGCCTTCAAGAAGACCGGACTTTTGGTACTTAGACACGGATGGAATGGGATCAATGAATTGTGTGCTGCTTGTTCCCTTTGTTGGTGGCAACCAGCAAGCACCCATAATGTCATGCCCACCATGAAGAAACCATCCCTAGGTCTTGTGGTTGTTAAGTGCCGTCAAGTCGGTTCCAACTCACAGTGACCCTGTATAGGAGGGTTTCCAAAGAACAACTGGTGGGTTTGGATGCTGACCTTACAGTTAGCAGTCCAGTGCTTATCCTACTGTTGGGGCCTAACAGCTGACCTCTCTTGCACTCTCTGGTGGTGGTGGTGGTGGTGGTGGGGATCTAGATGTCTTTGTGAGACAAGTTGCAATACTGAATCAAGGGCAAAGATCTGGTATCAGACAATGGACTAGCATGCCCCCAGGGCCTAGAACTCCAGGCTCCAAAACAAAGAGATTCTAGATGGACAGAAGTTTCAGGTCAGTCCCAAGGGAGATCCATTGGGTGCCAACTTAATGCTTTGGTGACAGGCCCCTGACAGACCCTTGCTTGTGGATTTCCATCATGGAGGGTGGAAAAAAACCTAGTTATCTTAAACACCAAAAATCCTGACCAATATCTCCCCTGTCCGCCATATTCACATTAACCCCACATAGTGGACGAGGGAGACAATGACAATGAGAAACAAGAATGGGAATGTCTGTACACGTCAACAACGAACTTAACAAACGATACAACTGGGGTGTTATTGGAGAAAACAACATTTTGCATTAAGGGTCAAACAAGGGTGACCTTTGTGTTCCCCTGTGGGTTGGGGAGGGGACTGCAGTGGGGGAGTGATAGGTTCAGAATGAATTCTGTCTGCTTCCCCAGCCCCACGGCGCACAACTGCACACGGGCTCTGGAAGGCAGGGGAGCCCCACCGACTGAGCGGTATTCCCATTGGCACGTGGACAGTGGAGGGAGCAGTGCAGAGCACGGCAGCCAGGGGAGAAGGGCTGGTCAGGTGGGGAGGAGCAGAGAGGCAGGGGGCTTAAGTGGTGGGAAGGAGATGCTGCCTACAGGGGTGGCAGAGGGAAGAGCTGGCAGAGGTTAGTGCAGGCTTTGAAGAGGGACTGGGAAGGCCCACGGTGGAGGAAGATGTCCATTCCTGTTGCCTGCTGGGGACAGGCTTGGCCAGTGGGAGGTGCAGGGACAGGAAGCCTGGTGCTCTGTGTGCTTGCTTGGTTCTCTCCTGTAGCTACAAAGGCTGCTCCGAAAAAGTCCCTGGTCTTCTTCAAGGAGCTTTGCCAGGGGGTGTGAGACACAAGTTCCAATTTGACTAATGGTGTGGTGATAGTCCCATGAATGCCACATGACTGGGAACAAACATTAAGACTCTCCCAAGCCCACTGCTTCTGGCTCCAACAGAATGTCCACTCCCGCCTCCCTTTCAGTGAGGAGGAAGGGTTGGTGTGGAGGTCTAGAATGGCCTAGACAGGGACTGGGACTGGTACCTAAGGGTACCACTTAGGTCTGGGACCAGCTTGAAAGAAGTGCCTCCTTCCTTCTCCCTAACTACCTTCTCACTCTTTCATGTTCTCCAGGCCTATTTCCTGGTGAGCCATCTGCAGATGAATGGAAGGAAACCAAGGTAGAGTCTTGCATTGTTTTCTTGGATTGAGGCAGAAAGGAGGACTCCTTTAGGATCTAAAAATCTACTCTTAGACTTTTCCCCATTTCTACTGGGGCCTCCAGAGCAGTGACCCCAAACCTTGGCTGAGAGCGGAGGCAGGGAGGCCCCTTCTTCGTCCTCAGCCACAGACCTCCTTAGCCTCTCCTAGCCATGTTGATGAGTGTACCTGTCTGCCCCTTGCCAAATCAGGAGCGTGTGGAAGGATGGTAATATGAGAGGCTGACCCAGGCACCTCAGTGTCCTTTAAGCCAGTGCTTGCTGAACAAACTGCATTGTGTGAAAGAGGGGTCAGTGCTAAGAACGTGTCCACAGGGTCCCCTCCCCTGGTTTGATTGCTGGTGGCAGCTTTGTCTAGATCCTCATTTCTGAAATGACCATCAGAGGTAGCCAAAGCCGCAGGTATTTTTTAAGCAGGTACAGAAGGAAGCTAAGAGAACACACAGACAGACTGCCCGCAGGAGGGAGACAGGGATGCTCCGAGGGGCAGTCAAGGCAGGGTGTCCCTGGGCGTCCATCAGAGAACAAGCTGGGAGTGGAGGGTGGGGAGAGGGAGGCTGGAGAGGCATGCAGGTATGAACCACACAGGTAGGGACACCCGAATCGGCCATGCAGGAAAGGGGGGACAATGCCATACCAATGGGCATGGGGCATCCAGTCCGTCCAAACCTGGTAACCCCGGCTCCCCTTTCTCTCCTTTAAAACCTCGGTGTCCCTGTTCACAAAACCAACCACGGGGGTTATTGAAGTCAAGGCTGGCCAGCTCCGTCCGTTTGTGGAGCAGAGAGGCCCAGTCCTACTGGCCAGGATGCAGGACTCGTGAGGTATTGGAGTCCCATCTCCCAAACTTCACTTCTGTGCTCTCGTTGGCTTTCTGGAGAGTTCAGCCCTCTCTCCGTGGAAAGACTCATTCAGACTAAACATAGATATGGCTCCACCTGGATGCACCATAATCTTGAGAACCTTCAAAGGGACTGAAAAGGCATTTGAGAGACCTGGAAGGTGTAGCACCAATAACTAATGATTGCTTTGCTTGGTGCAAATGGTTAACGTGCCCAGTTACTAACTGAAAGGTTGGAGTTATGCGCTTATCTAGAGGTGCCTTTGAAGAAAGGCTTGGTGATCTACTTCTGAAAACTCAGTCATTGAAGATTCTGCAGAGCACAGTTCTACTCTGAGACGCACGGAGTCACCATGCGTTGGGTTTACTGATGGGGATAGAGTGGCATCTGTCTGAAGCTTTAGATTTTAGGTGGGTGGTTGTTGGAAGCTGGACGGCTGTCTATTAAAAGTCCTCCATATGGCTCCATCTGACTGCTTTTGAGCACAGGTGGCTTCTGGAGATGCTGACCTCGGTGTCCTGCATCCTGACTCAGTGAGGTTTCAGATACAGAAGGCAAATCTGGGGATCCCAAATGTGACACTGGCTTCTAAAGTCAGCCTGGACCTCAGAAAATCCCTCTTTTCCTGGTCTCTTCCTTTCCACACATCAGCTGTGCATCTTCAAAGGAAGGGATTTGGTTGGAATTCTTTGCAGCTGTGGTTTTTAAGGAAAACCAGCAGCAGGCTGAATTTCACTGGCCAAATGGACAGGCATATTTCAGTAGCTTCAGTGTGGTCAGTCATTAGGTTCTCATCTTAATTGATTTGCCTTCTTTGTTTCCAAGCTGCAAACCCCAAAGGAAAAAAACAAAACCCCCAAACAATGCAAGCGATAAAGAAACACATACCAATGGACAGGGGGCATCTAATCCAGGCGCTCCTTGGTCTCCCTTATCCCCTTTAGGCCCTCTAGAGCCTTTCTTCCCCCTCTCCCCCTGTAAATAATGGTTTAGTCCGAGAGAAAAAAAAAATAACATCAAAACTTTAGTATCATCCATTTGATAAGATTAGGGAGAGAAAAAGAGAAAAAATGAAAGAGAGAAAATAGACTTTCTTCTTCCTGATAGGATTTGGGGTTAGGGTCCAGCTCCACCCTGCTGAACACCTGAGATTTTAGCTCAGGCAGGTGGAGCGGGGGCAGGATGCAGCAGGGCCACAGCGGGAGCTTAGAGGCCAATGCAGAAAAAGCTTCGAGGTCCCCTCTGCTAACCGGGCCTCAGAGTGGGCCTGTGCTGAGCACAGTGACTGGAGACTGACTTCCTTCTCTTTGAAGGTTCCCTTTTTTCCAAAAAGCTTTGGGCTGACAATTTTTGTCCCGAGGAGACCGCTGCTGTGATGTGGTTTCTGAGGCTGTAACTCCTTATGGGAGCAGAAAGCCTCATTTTACTCATGGAACGGCTGGCGGATTTGAACTACTGACCTTGTGGTTACCAGCCCAATGTGTAATCCACTATGTTACCAGGGCTCCTTTCCAAGGAGGCAAAGGGATTTTATTTAGAGTCCTGGGGTCTATGTGTGTGCTGTGTGTATGTATGTACTGGAACATGTAGGAGTGTGTGGGTGTGTACTATACGTTTGCATTGTGGACACACAAGTGGTTACACATACATACATACATACAGGCATGTGTGTACCTGCACACACATGTACAAGTATACGTGTATGCATGTATGGGCATGTAGGTACCTGCTCCCAGCTGGGCCCTTCCATCCTAGGTGTGTCTCTGGGCCAACCTGGTGGAAAGCCATAGATAGCCATTCGGATGCGGATTTGTTAGTTCAAGGTTCTGACAAGCTTCAGTAAGCATCATCTTTCTGAGTCAAATCCTAACTGCTGTCTGCCAGGGCCTCTTTCCATGTAAAGAATGCTGTGAGGAGTTGTTTTTAAAAGTAATGTGTTACCACTGAAGGAACCTGAGTTTGGATGGTTATATGTTGGGTTTCTTTAAAACGTGGCCCAAGTACATTCTAGGGAGTCTTCCTGGAGCTCTCTCCCTGCTCCCTGTTGTTGTTAATTTGTGCCGTTGATTTGGTTCCAACTCATAGTTACCCTGTATATGGTTTCTGAGAGTGGCTGGTGGATTTGAATTTCCTATCTTACAGTTCAGTACTTACCCTACCTTATAGTTCAGTACTTACAGCACCACACTTAATTTGTAGTAATTGTAGTTATGTGCTGTGGAGTCCGTTCTGACTCATAGCGACCCTGTACAGGGTTTCCGAGGCTGTAAATCTTTATGAGAGCAGAACGCCTCATCTTTCTCCCGCAGGACAGCTGGCAGTTTCGAACTGCTGACCTAGTGGTTCGCAGCCTGATCGTAACCACTACACTACCAGAGCTCTTATAATTTAATACTTGGGAACGTTCAGGGTGCAAAACCACCAAGGCATCATGGTCAGAGTTGGCTCTGCTGTTATTGGAAACTTAACCTTTCTGAGCCTCAGTTTCTTTACCTATCAAATGGGGCTAATAGCACTTGCCTCAATGGTGCTTTGTGAGGTCTTTGTGCATATTTAATGCATAATACTGGCCTGTAGTATGTGCTCAATAAATGACAATTGCTCATAATAACAATAATGGTTATTACTAATTGCTAGCCAGTTTAGGAGCCAGGCCTGCTGGTCACAGTCTCACGGGCCTATTGTGTCTGCAGTGTTTCCAAAATGGGAGGCTAGCAGATCTATGCATTACAAGGAGTCAGAGGAAACAAATACTTTTGAGATTTCCTTTGATCTTTGGGAAATTATCCAAATTTCTCCATTCTAGGGGTTGCCTGCAATTTCCAATGCATTGTTCTAACTGAGCTTCTAAACCTCAAATCATTACTTAGGAAAGGATATATGTTAAAGAGGAAAACATATTTGCATATTAGGGGGGATTCTTTCATTCCATTGGCTCTGAACCATGCCCACCAACACGAGGAGGAGCCGTGAACAGGCAGTTGTTTGCATGGGGAATCCCGTGGTCAGTCTTCTTGGCACCGTGGGACCCCTCATTCTGTTTGGGTCAGGCCAGTGTAAAAATGAGCGCTGGACTACTAACCACAAGGTTGGTGGTTCAAACCCACCAGTTGCTCCTGGGAAACCCTATACAGGGCAGCTATGAGTTGGAACTGACTCGATGGCACTTAACAACAATGAGGAGGGTGGGCAGAACTGATGAAGACGGGGGTCCCAGGCTGCTGGAATGCTTGTCGTAAGGGTAACAGAGGGTCAGTCGTGTTGCATGATGGACAGCTTACACCATGGGGTGCATGTCCTGAGGACCCTTTAAAGTTACTAGGGCAGTCGCTTTACCTACACCCTCTCCTCCCCAGGGAGTGACAAAAAGACAAAAAGGGACTTCTAGGTGGCCTTGGGGAAAGAGACAAATCAAATGAAGTAGCAGAGGTTTCTTTAAAAATAAATACATGAATGTAGATTTTAGAGGAAATAAATTGAAGCTGGGGGAGGTCACAGGGCATGGGATTATGACAGGGGACGTATCTCAGGGAGGAAATAATGGAGGAGGAGAGGAAGGAAGAGACAGACCCAGGCCAAAAAAGATGCTGGAGGAAGGAGGCCAGGTGGGCCCAGGGAAGCAAGATGCATACACACACACACACACACACTCAGGGGAGTGAGTTCCCTCATTCAGACCTTTTCAGCTGGCTTGTAGGCAGCTCACTGCTAACATCTCTCACTATGGCCTACCCGATCTTCCTGATGACTAAGTTGGTAGATTCACACCATCTTTTGATTGAGCGTTCATCCTAAAGGAGGCACTTGGGTCAAAGCTGTGGAGAAGTGCTTGGGGTAAAGGCACTGCCCTTAATGGCAAAGATAAAATATTCTACCTCCTAAACAACTCCCTGTCCCAGGCTCTGAGCCCTGACCGTTCTGAAGCTCTTCCTTCCACCTTCCAGGAACAAGACAGAGGCTTGAAGACCAGCCTCTGTGAGAACCTGGAGAAATCTACTAATTTTTATTGTTGTAAAAGACACATATGTATCACAACATTGGCCAATTCCACATTTTTCATGCGTACAGTCCAGTGGTATCAATTATTCTTGTTGTAGAACCATCATTACTCATGGCTGCCATAGGAAACTTGCTGTTGTTAAGTGCGGTTGGGTTGGTTCCTACTGACAGCAACCCTATATAGGGTTTCCAAGGAACAGTTGGTGGGTTTGAACCGCTGATCTTGTGGTTAATAATCTAGTGCTTATCTTCCAGTGCCACATCAGGACTCTAAGAAACTCACTGGAGAAGCATAATTTTAAAAGAATGATTTTGAGGAATCGTTTTAGTTTAAAGATCCTCAGACTCAATAACTTCAGAAAGTCTGGATTCCATGAGAACATGAATTTCTGTCCCATATTCCTTCCCCTTAAGTGCTGTGGAGTTGGTTCTGACTTATAGTGACCCTGTGTAGGGTTTCTGAGGAGCAGCTGGTGGATTTGAACCACTGACCTTGTGGTTAGCAGTCCAGTGCTTAATCTACAGCACCACCCCAGGACGCCAAGTCTTTATTAAGACTGGTGAAATAAAAAGCTCCAAATGTGGAGGTGGGACTTAGCGGAGACTCTTCTAGGACCTTCCAGCATCTTGAGAGTCAAATCTCTTGAGTAAAGTTTTTGAGAACATGTCGACTAGTTCTTTCTAGTGCCCTCAAAAAAAGGTTCAGGGGGCTTTCTATGACATGGCATGCTTTTAATTTACATAGTTGTTGTCCGAGTTAAATGCCATCAAATTGGTTCCAACTCAGAGCATCCTGTATAGGGTTTCCAAGGAGCAGCTGGTGGGTTTCAACTGTCTACCTTGTGGTTCACAGATCCTATAGCATGGGGGAAAGTATATAAAATTTTAGGAAGGAAAGAGTGGACAATAAACATTTTCTCACTGATTCCAGGGGCTTCCCTGGCACTTGGTTCATTAAGAATCAGAACTGTGACAAGGACACTTTATCTTCACTACTTCTACCTCTAGAACAACACGATGGCCTGACTTTACAGCCTTAGGATGGCTTGTGCCACAAGCCAACTGAAAGAGATCTGAGAGATAGGTTTAAAAAATATTAATTTAATCTAGTAAGGAAAACTAGAACTTGTTAGAAATGAACTGGAAAGGTTAATAAGCCAACCAAGAGGTGGGATGATCAATTGTTTGAGGCCTAAATTCTTTAATGCCACACTAAAAAAGGCAGGGTTTCCAGTCTGCCTTAAGGAGCCTGGCTGCATTTCTGGAAGCAGATCTTTCTATTCAAAACTTGGTCTTCCTATGGAGCTCTCTTGATAGTGGTGGCCCCCTTGCTTCCGTTTAGATATGTGGGACAAATGGAATTGTTTGGGCCAGTTGCCTGTGAGAATTCAGGAATGTCCAAGTGCTCATTGAGTGTGTCTTATATTGAAGACAATGGAGTTGGTGCTAGGTATAAACACATACATTCTGACACTGCTATTGATGAGCATGTTTACAGAATAGCCTGAAGACTTGGGTCCTAGGAGTTACGTGCTCTCTTTCTCTCTGTGAGAGTTTAGTATGTTTTCTCATCTTTCTGGGCCTCATTCTCCATCTGTTCCTGCTATTCCTTTTCTCTAAGGTCCTTGGAATTGATGACCCTCTTGAATCTCTAGGGAGCATGCACCTTACTTTGAGAACCACTGTGCTGAAGCAGGTGAGAGCAACATTCTGGAAAGGAACCCGAAGGTCATCTCTTGGCCAGAAGTAGTTAACTTACTCTTGTTGGGCCCCAGTGCCAAAGGCCATGGCATGTGTCATATACCACCATGGGACCGTGGGTCCAGAACATTCAATAAATGTGTCTTGGTGAAGATGGCAGGAACTGAATGGAAAGCAAGGGGCCTGGTCAGCTGACTTTTCCCAAGAGAAGTAACGGTTGTAATATTTCTTTCAAAGGGCTGGGTACTTACAACAGCGGTGTGCTGGTTCTTAGAAATGGAATTTATTTTCTCTCTCGCCAGTGGCCTGGAATGACTGGACAAACTAGGTTTAGTATGCTCGGACTAGTTAATGGTGGATTTAAAATCCATTCTTTAGGGACTCATTATCAGGGCACCGTAGTGAGGGGTATAGGGCACTTGTTCCTGATGGCAGTGTTAATTCAGGGGTCACTAAGTGATGCAATGTCCCTTTGTCATGTGCAAAGCCACATGCTTCAATATCAAGATTAGGCCTTTCACTAGAAGGCTTTTTATAAATTTAGGATGATTTATCAGGAAAAGCCGTATTTGCCATGTTGGGTTAAGAATCCCCAATTGATCATTCCACCACATCATGAAGATGTTAGTAACCAGAGCCAAGGTGTGAGGGGTCCTACTCACCCGGTTTCCTTTGTCCCCGGGTGGTCCGTGTAAACCCTGCAATAAATCAGAGAAACGAGAAAATGCAGGATGGTCAGTCTTTCCTCCCAAGGTTCACAAAGCGATATACTGATGCTGGATTTAGTGGTGACAGATTCAATTCTCCCCCGTTTTATAGAGAGGGGACAATAGAGAAAATTGCTCCGGTAACTTGATCTAGAGACAAATGATGAGTTATAGGCAAAGCCAGGGACAAAGTTCTGATTCTTGGCCATAGCCAATGTCCTAGCCTGTGGTCATGTTCTTTTGTCATCATTTATGCTGAGGGCTCAGAGGACATGGCCGGGCAGTAGAGAACTCTCCTGGCGGAAGTGTCTATAGTGCATCCTCTGCCAGGTTCTTGTTTGGAGACGAATTCAACAGCTTCTCAGACCTTCTTTTCAAGGTGCACACTACCTTCCATTTCTTCAGCTAGGAACGGTGATGAGTGAACTCAAGTCAGAAACTTGCTTGTAGTTGCCTAGGTATCCCAAAGAAAGCTATCCAGGAAACCTATCATGGAATAGGTAAACAGATGTACAAGTCCTCCGATGGATGGGAAACAACAGCTCTGGCTATGTTGGGCAGCCAATGAACTTTTATAACGCAGCAATGGGAAAATGTGCCGTGAATAGAAAGCTGGCGAGTCCTTGCAGTTCAGCTCCTCTGTTCTGGACTTGAAGGACTTGATGTTCTCTTACAAAACATCTTCTTCGTGTATTACAAGGATTTGGGCTTGATTCTGCCGCTGCCAAGGATCTGACCCTCCTTGAGGGTAGAGGCAGAGGTGTATGTATCTGTGAGCACTCAATGCAGTGGAAGGCGGCTATGAAGTGGGCATTACAGCAGATGGTCTACATGGCCGACATATTACCACAGGGGCCATATGTCCTGGTGTTTTGTTCCAAGCGGTGCCCAACGTAAAAGTTCTAGTGCAGTGACCATTTGGCTGTGCACAGCTTCCTGTCAGAAATGAGGATTCTCACTTGGCTCAGATTTGTTGGTACAGACCCTGGAATTTCTGTTTTGACAGTACTTCTATTTGGGGCAGAGGAAGAAGAGAAACCCCGATTCCAGGAGACTTACAGGAAGCCCAGCTGCTCCCGTTGGTCCTGTCATCCCAGGGTCGCCTTTGCTGCCCTAAAACACGAGAAGGAAACTCATGAACTCTCCAGACATGATCAGTCGGTTCCTATCTTCATGATACAAAAGACCTTCTCCAGCCAGCAACCCAAAGAGCCAGTGGGGAAGCAAAGGTGCAGAGGGTGGAGTGACTGGGGGTGCATGGCCTCAGGGAGCTGGCTGGGAAACCTCTTCTAGCTCTCCCTCTGCCCCCAGGCCCAGCAGAGGACTAAGCAGTGTTCTGGGGGAGCAGGCTGGCCTGAGGCACAAGCAGGGAAGGAGACCAGGACACAGGAAATGGACGTGGACAGGAAGGCAGGGGTAAAAGGAAAGGGGAACAGAAGTGGCATGTTTCTTTTGAAGCTCCGCTCAAGAAGAAGCCATTCCTGGTTTGCCCAGTTGGCTGTGACCTCAGAGCACTCTACGCCCCCTTCAGAAGCTTTCCGCCCTGCCCACCCTGAAGAGGCTGCCATGTCTCTCCCAGCCACCCCTGAGGCAAATGGACAGATGAACAAGGAGAGCAACTCACAGCAGAGGCCCAGTACCCATCACTGGTCCTTTGGGCACTATAAACCCTGAACGGGCAAACACTCTGCCTTCACTGAGTCAACACACTCTACTCTCACCTTTATACATGTCTCAAGGTCAACAGTTCAAAACTACCAACAGTTCCTTGAGAGAAAGATGAGGGTTTCTACTTCCGTCAAGATTTAGTTTTGGAAACCCTATGCAGGGTCACTATGAGTCAGAACTGACTCCACGGCACACCACCACCATTACCACTCCAGACAGGGCTGGAGCTCAGGAAGTCATGTGATCAGTAGTCAAGGTCACATGACTACTAATGGTGAGGTCTGAGACTAAGGCAGTGGCCATCGACTTCTTGATGTCTCTCAAACTTTTCCAAACATCATCTGGCTCTAGGTTCTGTGCTGTTGCCCAAAATCCTTATTACAAAGTTTAGGACTGTCCAGATGACAACAGTGCCCGGGACCTTGTTAGACTGAGTCTTGGACTGACACTGGGTGACCAGTAAGCCACGGTAAAGAGAACTTTGATTTTCTAGATCTCTCTACATTGCTGTGCATTCATAGCAACTAAACAGAGTTAGTTCCTCCAGGCCTGCAGGTCCCTCCCCCAGGTGTCTGTCCTGAGGCTCACTAGTAGATGAATGGAAGCGCTTGCTGTGTCTACAAGGAAGGGATGGTGGCAGAGACTCTTGATGTGGACGCAGTGTTGGGCCCCAGATGTCAGGACTACAGGATCCCCGGCTGAGGAAGGAGGGCTGCCCTTCTCTCCTGCTGACCCCGGCTCCTGTCTCCATGAGCACTCACCCTCTCGCCCTTTGGTCCTGCGGGTCCCGGAACTCCAATTGGTCCTGGAGTACCCTAGGGGGTTTAAAGACAGCAAAGGTGAGGGTCCTGAGGCTGGGGGAGCCCTTGGGGGCCCGCCCGAGGCTGGAGATGAGGAAGGCCCAGAGGTCCAGTTTTCAGGGTTGGCGAGGCCAGGCAGAGCCAGGGCAGCCAGTTGACTGGGCCGTGTTCCTGTTTGGGTTTGGGGGCCTTGGGGAAGAGAATATCTTCCCATTGCCTCTGAGCCAGATTCTTGGAATGAAACTCTTTTGATTCACAACCAAGCTTGCCAAGGCTGAAAACAGTAGTTTGCTCCCAGAAGCACTTGAGAGGGAGTTGACCCCCTCTCAGGGGTGGGGGGGCCGGGGCTGCCACCCCTTTGCTGGCGCAGCTCCACATGCAGCAGGAGGCTCTTCATGCCACAGAGATCGATGCAGATGCACACACAGAGGCAGGCATGAGACAGGGTCATCCCGTCCCCCCAGGCCCCCCTCCCTGAGCTTCAGCCTCTGGCTGGAGCCTTCTCTCCCCCACTCCTGCCCTCCAGAGCAGGCTGGATGGGAGAGGGAATTAGTATGCCTTGGGTGTCATACAGACACTAGCCTGGCAGGAAGATGGGTTATAAATACCCCTAACTCAGGTCTGTAGGGGAGGTAGAGGCTGCCGGAGGAATTGGAGCTGGGTTGCTTAGAGACAGAATCAGGTCTTGCTAGGCATAATTAAACCTCTCCTGGTTGCCAATTTATAGCCTGACTAGATAAAGCCTGTGCTTCTGAGTCTTCAAGTGTTTTGCCTCCATGTTAGTATTTCCTACAGATAAAGATGTGAGGGTGTGGGGGGTGGACGTACGTATGGGGGATTCCTGGTGGCTTGTGTTTGGCTATGAAAGAGCAAGTGGGGAATGTTGATGTACTTTATTCACATGGGGGAACAACAGCAATAGAATGCTCTTGGTGCCCCCACTGTTACTATAAGGAAGGGACAAAAGCTTATGGACATCAATGGCAAGGTCCCATCAGAAAATGAAGGTGACCAGGTCAGGGGTGATGGATAAGAACCAGACTCTAGAGTCGGCTAGCCAGTTACAAATCCTCCCTCAAAGGCTGACATGCTCGGTGATATTGCAGGGTTACTTAGCCTGAGTGTCGACTTTCCCTTCTGCAACATGAGGATGATAATGTTGCTCCCAGCCTCCTAAGCTGCTGCCAGGTTTAAACAAAACTGTGTGCCAAACTCTATGCACTGCGCCTGACACAGATCATGCCCCTATCCTTGACAGGCCACCTGGGAAATGTGAACTAGGTGAGAAAGGATGGAAAGAGAGGGTCTGTAGTAGAAGAGCAAAGCTGTAATAAGACCTGGAAAACTGGTACGTTCTCCGTACTCTGGGGCCATCTCCATAAATGCATATGGCGGGGAGAGAGGCTCTGATAAGACCTGTTATCTTGGACAAATCACAGCCCCTCTCAAAGGCTTGGCTGTCTTTTCTTTCTGAGGACACAGAAGAACCACACAGGTGGAGGAAGCTGTGAGTGAGCTTATCTTCCTGGTCCTCCTGCCTCTGTCCACGTCAGTTCGTAGGCTTGCCTCCAGGCTCCTAGGGAAGGCCTGCTGTGGTTGGCTGTGCTTGGACTGTTTCTGTGCCCTTTGCCTGTCCTCCCCTCCATGCATGGACCCCTGTGAGTTCTCATCTTTCCCAAGTATCACTCCAACAGCCTCATTAGAGCCTCATCTTGCATGGCCTCACAGGTATGCTATGAGTCCAGAGTAGAAGAACTTGCCCATTGGAAGGAGTTGCACACACATCAGGCCTAGTTAGCAGAGTAGGGATGACCAGCCTCCTGGTCTGGGGAGAGTCAGTGGTCCAAACCCCACGGTACATGATGAACTTCACTAGGGATTAGGTGCCAGCCAGGGGAACCACTGTCCTGCAGAGCTAGCTCATGGGGTGCTCATGGGGATGGAGGGGACCTAAATCTCTCATCTGCTCTGTTGTTGGAGGAAGTGACAGCTATGGCTTGAACATGCTCCAAGAACACTAACCTGGAACTGGCCACTATGCTCCTTAATGCTACACTGCCCTCCCCCTTCACGTTATCCACACCCCAATACACACCAGCCTGGTGACTGTCGAGGAGTAGGAAGTGCTCGTGGACAGAGAGGAGATGAACAGAGCTCACAGCATCACGACAATACAGCATGATGGGTACATACAGACACTGTTGTGTTTGGTGGGGACGGACGATAGCCCAACCACCCAGAGCTTGGTTTTCAGGTGGGGTTTAGCAATCCTTCCAGAATGGGGCAATGCTGCTGAAGTGTACCCCACACCCTGTAGTCTGGTACTCAGGTTTGAGCTCCCTAAACACACTATGGCTATGGGAATTCAGACTAAGTCCAGCCATCTCTGTTCAAGAGGCTCGAATAAACACTTGTGAACTGAGCACAGACTACAGCTTTCTGGTGTTGGTGGTGGGATGAGGCTTGACTCACTGGGAAAACAGGGGGCCACAGCAGAACAAACAAGAAGGACCACAGGCTGGGGATGGGGATGGGGACAGGGTGGAGGGAGGGGTAATGGAGAAGTGACACTCACCGGTGGCCCAGGCCTGCCGTCCAAACCTGAAGCTCCCTGGATGAAGGGAACGTTTGACCAAGAGAAGGGGAGGGGAGGAATGGGAGGGGAAAAAAAAGGAATGGGGAGGGAAGAGGTGAGTGAAGCAGTGACTCTGGACAGACATAAATGCTGGTAATCAAACAAAACGGGAGAAGTAAGCTTGGCAGGACAGGGAACGGTATTTACATGGACGCCATTGAAAACATGGAGACACTGAGTGTAGTGTGGCCCGCTGCCCAGCAGGTTGAGGGGAAGACCCACTTGATGGCCATTCTGATCTCCATGGCCCCTCTCGGCTTCTCCCTGTCTCAGAGCCCCTCTGCCCAGGAACCCCCTGTGTTCTGGGGAACGGGATACAGACAACAGCTCTTGGAGAGGCATCTGGATCCAGATCTAGAGCTTCCTGCCTAGGAGTATGCTTGTGTGGACGCTGGGACCTGGGTGGGGATGGTCTCTGGCCTCTGTTGCATAACCTTTGATATCTGACCAGGCTGGGGATCCCTGAGTTACATATAGCAGCAACCCCACTTCCGCTGAGCCAGAGGAGTTAACCCCTGAATGAGAATCCTAATGATGCCTGACATTTCTCTGGCACTTGACAATGTGCAAACATAACACCCACTGAATCCATTCACAGATTCCCTATACAAGGGCTCTAAGAGAGATAAAGGCTTTGAGGGCTGCTGACTGGGTCAGAAGTCTAAGGCCATGTATTCTTGGGAGCAAGTGGCAGGCAGGTATGAAGCTTACAGATCTCTTCACTCTCTAGTGTTTGCATTCCTTGTTGCCCAGTGACATGTGTGTCAACAATGGAAGCCCTGGGTCCTGTGCTGGGGGAATGGGCTCTCCCTGCAAGCCAGCCAGGAAGGGGGTGGGTGGGGAATGTTTCCCAGTGATTCCAATGTGAGGAACTAAGGAGGAGGCAGCAGGGCTGCTTGAACTTAGGAAGGACTGGGTTCTGGAAAACTGCCTTCAACTGGGCCCCAGAAATGCATATGGGCCTCAGGATTGTAAAGGTAGGAAGAGAAAAGCCCCAGAGGAGGGGGCAAAAGGAGCTGCTTCTTCCTGGGGAAAGGGTATTGGGTGGAAAGGTTCCAGAGGGGCTCACTTCTCTGTTTTAGGACCACCTAATTCTTGGAGTCCTGGTGTGGCGTTGTAGGATAAGCACTAGATTGCTAACTGCAAGATTGGTGGTCTAAACCCACCAGTCGTTTCTTGGAAACCCTACACAGGATCGTCATGAGTCAGAACCATTCCACGACACACAACAACGACAGTGCTTCTGGGACTGACTTTGGCTTATCAGCCTTGAGACTGGGACTGACTTTGGCTTATCAGCCTTGAGACCCGATGGTTCTCAACCCTGGCTGCATATTCAGATATCCCAAGGAGATGCTAAATAATACAGACTGGTCTCCCATACCTGAGACCAGTTCAATCCACGTCTCTAAGGCAGTGATACATTTAAAATGTTTCCAGTCAGAGTCAAGAACCACTTCTGTACGTTATATAGGGGCGTCTCCTGAGGCTTTTTCTGGAAAAATAGGCTGCTGCCAATGAAATATCCAGGTGACATTAAAACCCCCCAAGAACTTTAGTTAAATATCTACTCTGTCTATGCCAGAGTCCCTGAGTGGTGCAAATGGTTAAGCACTGGATTACTCATCAAAATGTTGACAGTTCGCATCCACCCACAGATGCCTTGGAAACGGGACTGACAAACTTTTTCCGAATGCCCCAGTCTTGCTCAGAAGACATGGCGGCACCATAAGCTACACTCCAAGGTGACTCTTGTTGTCTGTGCAGGATTAACACAGGACACACACGGGAAGATTTCAAGCTATAAGTGGATCGTTGAAATAGCTAGGATGATCTTTTAGAAAGTATTAGAAAGTGAGGAGATTTCACATAAGATGTCAATTTTCTGGCTTCTCTTGAAAAACAGAAATATCCAAAAATACCAGGCCCAGTCAGCAGATGGCTAAACTGAGCTGGGCTGCTCCCCTTCAGCAGGGAAATGCATGAGTTCTCATCACTCCCTGTTTGCTGGCTCCCTGAAAGCCATATTCATCACCGCTTAGCAATACGCTGGTTGTGTTGTTTTCGTTTTAGAAAAAGTATAATTTTTTTGTACCTATGTCCCTATGAAAAGTTGGAAAATAAAAGGCAGGCAGGGTACTTTGCCCTTCATCTGGCATGTCCCCTGTTTATATTATCTACTTGGCCTCAGTGGCATTTGAATTGCAACCCCTGCCTGACTTCTCCAGTGTTCACTGGGTTGTTAGGACCATGGAGGTGGATAAGGGGAGATTTGTGGTTAAGTATGGGGTGGGGATAGGGAGGGGCAGGAAAGCTCTTAATAGTAAGGAGTTCTTAATCATTCCGGACACAGGCTAAGACATGGGAAAATGTCTGCTAAAGTCATCAGTTTTCTGTAATCTGTCAAGAGAATCAGCTTCTTAAATATTCCGACATTTGCTGCATTAATGAGGGGGTAATTAGAGCTTTGCTTTTGTTGTTTGGTTGCTGTGATTATATTAACCAGACCTTTAAGCTCTGCCAAGCTGGGGTAATTGGGCTTCCTATTGTTCCCCGGGCTCCTTACAACTTTCTGGGATAGGAACTGGACTTGAGCCCGGGACAGAGGAACCCCGAGTAGCTGAAGAAAGCCCTTTTATGAAGCTTGGCCACGGACTTCATGTGTGACCTCAAGTGACTCGCCTGCTTCTCTGGGATCATCAGTAAGATGGGTAGCTGCATCACCCCTCTGACTCTTGAGATTTCCAACCTCCAGAGTGAGAGGGAGGATGGAGCCCAGGACTCCTGGGATGGGTGGTGGAATTTGCTCACCTGCACACAGGTGAGGGGGTGGAGCATAGGGTGGAACAATCTCTGCTTCTGAGATGGTACCTCCAGCCTGAGAAGCTGCAGGCAGAGATCATCGGGTATCTGGGACCTGAGTGGGCTTAGGGCTGGGACAGAGGATCTGACCCCTTTACAAGCTTGTCTGCTGTGGCCAGTATTTAGAAACAGAGGGTGGGAGGAGTCTAGGGTCCCTCCGGGAAAAGGAGGAGATAGATGGAGAACGTTCCATTGTCCTCTGTACCCAAACCCTCCTAGCTTGGCCCCCATAAGGCAGATTTTGTTGGGACTGAATCAAATTTCTCCCTAAGGAGCACCGGCCTTTCCAGCAGGTACTCTTTAGGGGATCCTGTGCAGTCTCCCAGGCCAGGGCCTGGTCCAGAGGGGACCCTCAGTGAGAGAATGAAGGACTTTGATGGTCTCGCTCAGGTTGGAAAGCGTAACCATAGACCCTTAGCAGCCCAAACCAATTTCTACAGCCCCTGCAGTCTTGATAGGCCCGAGTCACTGTCGAGTCCAAGATACGTACGGGTAATCCCAGAGGCCCTCGGTCTCCTTTTTCTCCCTGGACACCTTTCTCTCCTTTTGCTCCATCTAGTCCTGCTTCCCCCTGCATGACAGACAGATAGCAGAAGATCACAGAGGAGTTTCTCCTGACACTTATTTTTCACATTCTGGGGTGGGGAGGTGGGATGCAGAGAGGAGGGAGAGGTGAAGGTAGCTGGTCCAAGGGTGGCAGGCTGGGGACTCCAAGAACCCCTGAACTCTTAGCCTGGCCCTGTTTCAGTTTGCTGGCAGTATCCCTGTGGTCACTTTGAGGTTCCCAAAGGATAGTTGGTGAGGGGACAGGCTTTGAAATAAGTGAGGCTCTGACTACCTGTATGAGGAGGAAAATGTCACCATGAGAGCTCCGAGGTCCCCAAAGCAGTCAGGAGAAGAAACTCCTACAATCCCTTAAAGAGTCATTGGCAGGAGGCGGCCCCTTACTCTTTTGAAATCCTTGGGGGAAGACGGGAAAAGCCACAGCCCAGTGTCCAGTGGGCTTGGCTTGGAGAGGGTTCCCCTCTCTACTACTCTAGCTCCCACTTATATTTCCAGGTGAGTGAAGGTCTGGAGCAGGTTATTGGGAAAAGACTTTCTTCTTTTGGTAATCCTCTAGCCTGCTGCTTTGTGGGGTTAACTGAAGGATGGGGGAACTCTGCTGGATGCCAACGGCAGGTGTTAAAGGCCCCACAGGCCAAGCCATGGCATGATTCCATTTGGGAAGGGGGTCAGTGTGCCCACCTGCTTCGGGAGCACCTTCCCTCTGACCCACTTCTCCCCAACTCCCTTACCCAGCATCTGTCACATGATCTTTTCTTACCTTTGGTCCAGGAACACCTTGAAGCCCCTGAATATGGGATCAAAACAAGGTGCATTAGAATGGCATTTCTGATGAAATCAACTTCACTGTCCATACTTCGGGCCCCAAAAGAGCAAGAGCATTGGGTGCAGAATTTGGTCTGGGGGTTGTGCTGGGAGCTGCAGGCACAGACTCTGGTTGATCTGCAGCAGGTCATCTGTCTGTGGCCCCCACACTGACCCACAGTCTCATGAAGGGGACTCGGGAGTCAATACATTAATGTTTACTCAGTGCTCAGAACAGTAGCCGGCAGGCACAGAGTGAAGTTTCAAGGTTGGCTAGCGTCACTACTAGAGGCCAGTGATGGTTCCTGGTAAATGCTCGCCTTCCTTGTGGAAACCTGGCTTTGATTCCAGCCAACCCGCCTCATGTGCAGGAACCACGTCTCTGTCGGTGAAGGCTTGGTGTTGCTATGATGTTTCAGCAGAGCTTCCAGACTAAGATGACTAGGAAAAAAGCCCTGCTAACTGAGCTCTGGTAGCGTAGTGATTACGAATCAGGCTGTGAACCACAAGGTCAGCAGTTCGAAACTACCAGGTGTTCCGCGGAAGAAAGATGAGGCTTTCTGCTCCCGTAAAGATTTACAGCCTCGGAAACCCTGTTCAGGGTCGCTATGAGTCGGAACTGACTCCACAGCATATAACCAATTGACTTCTAAGGCGCTCTGGTAGTGTAGTGGTTACGAATAGGGCTGCAAACCGCAAGGTCAGCAGTTCAAAACTACCAGCTGCTCCGTGGGAGAAAGATGAGGCTTTCTGCTCCTGTTAAGATTTACAGCCTTGGAAACCCTGTACAGGGTAGCTATGGGTCAGAACTGACTCGATGGCACTGAATAACAACAACAACAACAACAACAATTTGCTTCTGAAAATCAGCCATCAAAAACCCTATGGATCACAGCAGTCTGAACCACAACTGATTCTGGGGATGGCACAAGACCACGGAGTGTTCTGTTCTGTGTGCGGTCACCTTGAGGTGGGGGCTGACTTCATGGTAGCTCCAAACAACGTCGTCCTTACTACTACTGTGATTTCTACCAATGACACTGAGCCTGTCGAGGTACACATCAGCACGGTTGGGTTAGGCTGCTTACGTGCTTATAGGTACGATACAAGGTTCCTTTAAAACAGTTCTTAGCATCTGTATAAATGGGTCACTTTCTATTTTAATCCTACTCATCTTGCCAGCTGATTGCAGGCAGGAAGAAGGGCAGTGACATCTGAAGGCAAAGAGATAAGTGTTGGGTAGACCAGGTGGCATATTTCTCCTGCAGGGAGCAGGGACCAGACCCTGGGGCCTGGCATTGCGTCCAACTGTTTCTAGGGTACTGGGCACCGATTGGCTCTTTGATGTCACAGGAGTGTGGAGATTGTGTACCAGGAGCTCTGCCCCCTTCTCCCCCTGTTCCCAGGAGGAGGTGATAATGACCTAAGGAAGCCTGAGATCAATCCCACTGACCACCATGGAAGGGACATTAGTGACCTGACCATGGTGAACTGAAATGCCAAAAAGCCCCTTAAACTTACGGGAGGTCCGGGAGGCCCCTCTAGCCCTGGTGGCCCAGGAACCTGGAAACCAAAGGGAAGATGATCAGCCTACTCCCTGTTCAACTCCCAGTGTTCTTCCTCCTTACACTACCATTTGGGAATCATCTGGGGACTGCTCAGCAGTGGTCAACCAGTGTCTGTTCAGCACACAGTCTCCCAAAATAAGTCAGATCAGAAGCTTACGGAATCCCACTGGTCTGTACAATGTTGGGGAAAAAATGTCGCCCAAATATCTGTGCTTCCAGATTTTTTGAAAACCCAGGAGCTCTGGCAATACCAGATTCTTGTTCATACATGGCAATGAACAACTGGAACTGATGAACAGTTTTCCCTCTTCATGGAACAAGAGATGGTTGGTTCTCCTAATCTCTACCAATTCTGGTTGCCTTTAACCTGGACCTCATGCATCCATCTGTTGTTTGCCTGGCTTTTGAAGGTACTTGAGTTTGAGACGCTTGGCTTAGAGGAGCAGAAATTGGTTATCTGAATGAAGGGAGACTGAGATGTATCTGAAGACTATTTCTCAAGTCCCCCAGCTTTGGAACAGATGGATGGGGACTGTTGGCCTCCATTTTGCCTTCGGGCAGGGCAAGAGGAACTAGAGTCACATATAGAGAAGCAATTCAGATGGGACAGGGAAGAAGGAGGAGCCTGGGGCTCTCTTGTTCTCCATAGTGGTGGAGGTGGTTACATGCCATGGAGTCGGTTCCAACTCATAGAGATCCTGTATAGGGTTTCTGAGGCTGTAAATCTTTATGGAAGCAGAAAGTCTCATCTTTCTCCTGTCGAACCGCTGGTAGTTTTGAACTGCTGACCGTGAGATTAGCAGCCTGACTTGTAACTAGAACCCCCATTTTCGGTGAAGATGGACATCCATTTGCCTACAGTTGGCCACCCAAGAAGCAGGAAAAAAATCTGCCTGCTTTTTTCAGACCTGGTCACCTCCCCCATCATCTGGGCTTTGGGGTTCTCCTTAGGTGCCTCACCTTTCCTGGGATAGAATTCCTAAGATACCACAGAGGGAGTCTCTGTGCTGGGCAGACAGGTAGATGGTAATGTCCCTTGAAACTTTCAATTCCATAATGCTGTAGAGTCTCTGCTGGGAACGAATTTTTTGGGCACTCTACCTTCTTACATGAAAAAATGACTAAAAAAAAAAAAAAGGAACACATGTATCCTGGTTGTGGTGGTGGTTATGTGTCATGGACTCGGACCCAACTCATAGCGACCCTGCACAGGGTTTCTGAGGCTGTAAATCTTTATGGGAGCAGAAAGCCTCATCTTTCTCCCTTGGAATGGCTGGTAGTTTCGAACTGCTGACCTTGAGGTTAGCAGCCCAACTTGTAACCACTACGCTACATTATGATGTTGTTGTTATTAAGTGCCGTCGGTTCCCAACCATAGCGACCCTGTATAGGGTTTCTGAGGAGCAGCTGGAGAGCTTGAACTGCTGACCCTGCGGTTCAAACTGACTTTGCAGTCCAGCGCATTAACCCACAGTGCTGCACACAATGGATGTAGTTTAATTAATTCTCTGCTCTTTTGTCACATTTTTTTCTGGGTTTTGCATGTTCCCTACAAGTCTCCTTTTAACAGCAATGCGTTATTTGAGTTGAATGAAAATTAGTTACTACCTAGTTGCTAGCAGGAGTCTTGGTGGAGTGCTGTAGGATAAGCACTGGACTGCTAACCGTAAGGTTGGCTGTTCAAACCCGCCAGCTATTTCTTGAAAATCCTATAAAGGGTCGTTATGAGTTGGAACTGACTTGACGGCACTTAACAACACCAGCAACAGTTGCTAACAAGGGCTTTGAGCAGTGCTTGGCCCATGGAAAGCGCTCAAGTACGGGGACTATTGTAACTCTTAGTATTCTTATCCTAAGTTTAATCATTTTCTTCTTGTTAGAAATGTACGTTATTTCCAATTTTTACTTTCAATACTTCTGGAAAGAATATTTGTATGTCGAATGCTTTGTTTTAAATTTAGGATAATTTCTTTAGGGGGCTATCCATTTGTACATAAGTATTGTTGACTTGGAACCGACTCAACAGACAACAACAAACACAGATTAAGGAGCCCTGGAGACAAATGGCAAAGTTGGTACTTTGAGCTAATGGAAAGATTGGAATGGTCCCAGGGGAGAAAGATCTGGTGAACTTACTCTTGTAAAGGTAAGAAGCCTAGAACCCCCCACAGGCCAGTTCTATTCTGCCACTATGAGTAACAATTAAATCAATGGCATATAACAACAACGGCATATCTATGTTATATTGATGTGGTTGTTGGTGTTGAGTCACTTCTGACTTACAGGGACCCTATGTCCAACACAATGCAATACTGCCTGGCCCTGTAGCATGCTAACAGTTGTTATGTTTCAGCCCATTCCCAGCATGCTACTGTGTCAATCCATCTCATCGGGGTCTTCGCTTTTTCAACGACATTAAACTTGACGAAGCATGATGTCCTTCTTCAGGGACTGGGTTCTCCTGGCATGTCCACCGAGTAAAGTCTCGCCATACTCTCTTCTAAACAGCATTCTGTCTGTACTTGTTCCAATACAGATTTTGTTATTTTGTACATTCTCCAGGGTACTTTCAAAATTCTTCTTCAACATCATAATTCAAACGCATCAATTCTTCTACGGTCTTCCTTATTGGTTGTCCAACTTTTGCATGCATATGAGGCAATTGAAAATACCATGGTTTGGGTCAGACACACCTTAGTCTTCAAACTGCTATTTTGGCTTTTTAACACTTTAAAGCAGTCTTTTGCAGCCGATTTGCCTAATTCAGTAAGTCTTTTGATTTCTTGACTGCTGTTTCCATGAATGTTGATTGTGGATTCAAGCAAAACGAAGTCTTTGGCAACTTCAATCCTTTCTTCATTTATCATGATGTTATTTACTGGTCCAGTTGTGAGAATTTTCATTGTATTACATTCTTTATATTGAGGTACAAATCCATACATCAATAAATATTTCAAGTCCTCTTCATTTCCAATAAGCCAGGTTATATCTGCATATCACAACAACAATCTGCATATTGCAAGTTGTTAATGAGTCTTCTTTCAGCCCTGATGCCACTTTCTTCTTCATGTGATCCAGTTTTTTAGATTATATGCTCAGCATACAAACTGAATAAGGATGGTGGAAGAATACAACCCTGGAGCACAACTTTTCTGATTTTAAACCATTCAGTATCTCCCTGTTCTGTTTAAACAACTACCTCTTGGTCTATGTGGAGGTTCCTCATGAGCACAATTAAGTGTTCTGGAATACCCATTCTTTGCAATGTTTTCATTAGTTTGTTATGATCCACACAGTTGAATGCCTTTGCAGAGTCAGTAAAGCACAAGTAAACATCTTTCTGGTGTTCTTTAGTTTCAGCCAAGATCCAGCTGCGTAAATATACGTCCTCTTCTGAATCTGGCTTGAATTTCTGGCAGCTCCCTGTCCATGTACTCTTGTAGCTGTTTTTGAATTATCTTCAGCAAAATTTGACTTTCATGTGATATTAATGATATTGTTTGATTATGCCCGCATTCCGTTGGGCCACCTTTCTTTGAAATGGGCACAAATATGGATCTTTTGTAATAGGTTGGCCAGGTAGCTGTCTTCCAAATTTCTTGGGATAGATGAGTGAGAATCTCCAGTGTTGTATCAGTTTTTAAAAATATTTCGATTTGTATTCCATCAATTCCTGGACCTTGGTTTTCACCAAAATCTGTAGTGCAGCTTGGACTCCTTCCTTCAGTACCATTGGTTCTTGATCATATGCTACCTCTTGAAATGGTTGATCACAGACCAATTTTTTTTTTTGGTTCAATGACCCTGTGTATTCCTTCCATCCTCTTCTGGTGCTTCTGGCATCATTCAATATTTTGCCCATTGTTATTGTTGCTAAGTGCTGTTGAGTTGGCTTTGACTCCTAGGGACCCTGCATAGAGTTTTTTGAAGAGTGGCTGGTGCGGTTGAACCACCAACCTTGTGGTTAGCAGTTCAGTGCTTATCCTACTGCCCCACACCAGGACTCCATTTGTCCCACAGAATCCCTCAATATTTCAAATTGAGACTTGAATTTTTTCTTCAGTTCTTTCAGCTTGAGAAAGGCCAGGCTTGTTTTACCCTTTTGTTTTTCTAACTCCAGGTCTTTGCACATTTTTTTATAATACTTCACCTTGTCTTCTCAAGTTTTTTGCAATTTTCTGTTCAGCTCTTTTATGTCCTCTTTTATGTCTTATAGTCACTTTAGCTTTTCTATGCTCAAGAGCAAGTTTCAGAGTTACTTCTTCTACCCACTTTTGTCTTTTCTTTCTTTCCTAAAAATTGAATGACCTTTGCTTTCTTCCTGTCTGTTGTTCTTGACATTATCCCACAACTCTTCTGGTTATTGGTTATTAGTATCTAATGAATCAAATCTGTTCTTTATATGGTCTCTAAATTCACATAGGATATATTCAAGATCATATTTTGGCTCTCATGGACTTGTCTTAATTTTCTTTAGCTTCAGCCTGAACTTACATATGAGTAATTGATAGTCTGTTCCATTTAGCCCTTCACTTTATTTCAGCTGATGAAACTGAGCTTGTCTATCATGTCTTCCCACAGATGTAGTCAATTTGATCCTTTTGAACTTCATCAGGTGAGGTCCATGGGTTTAGTTACCTTTATGTTGTTGAAAAAAGTATTTACAATGAATAAGTCATTGGTCTTGCAAAATTCTATCATTCAATCTCCAGCATCATTTCTATCACCAGGGCCATATTTTCCAACTATTGATCCTTCCTCTTTGTTTCCAACTTTCACATTCCAATCACTAGTAATAATCAGTGCATCTTGATTGCATGTTTGATCAATTTCTGACTGAAGAAGTTGGGAGAATTTTTCAACTTCATCATCACTGGCTTTATTGGTTGATGGGTAAATTTGAGTAATACTGGTCTTGCTTGTAGGTATATGGAAATTATCATATCATCGTACTTCAAGATAGATCTTGAAATGCTCTTTTTGATGATGAATGCAGGGCCATTAAGCTTCAATTTGTTGTTCCCAACAGAGTAAACCATATAATTAAAAATGGTTAAACCCAGTCAATTTTAGGTCAGAGTCCTGGTGTGGTGCTGTGGGTTCATGCGCCAGACTGCAAAGCCATTTGAACTGCAAGGTC